GGTGGTGTTCCCTGTCTAAGTGGGTATTAACGAGTTCAAACCCTGCCCGCGGGTAAGCGTGGTACCCGCGTACGAGCTCCCTAAAATTTTTCCCGCGTAATTTCATAACTCGGGGTTCTGAGATGCTAGAGAGCTGGAATTTTGTTCCAAAATTTTTCCCGCGCAAATTCATAACTCGGGGTTCTGAGGTGCTAAAAAGCTGAAATTTTAGGAGGAATGTTCCCCGTCCAAGCAGATGCTAATGGGCTCAAATCCAGCCCCCGGATAAGCGTGGTACCCGTGTACGAGCCCCCCAAAGCCCGCCCAGGCAGGTGCTAATGAGCTCAAATCCAGCCCCCGGGTAAGCGTGGTACCCGCGTACGGGCCGCCCAGGCAGGTGCTAATGAGCTCAAATCCAGCCCCCGGGTAAGCGTGGTACCCGCGTACGGGCGTCCAAGCAGGTGCTAATGGGCTCAAATCCAGACCCCGGGTAAGCGTGGTACCCGCGTACGAGCCAAGCAGATGCTAATGGGCTCAAATCCAGCCCCCGGGTAAGCGTGGTACCCGTGTACGGGCCCCCAAGCAGATGCTAATGGGCTCAAATCCAGCCCCCGGGTAAGCGTGGTACCCGTGTGCGGGCCCCCCAAGAGCAGGTGCTAATGAGCTCAAATCCAGCCCCCGGGTAAGCGTGGTACCCATGTTCCCCGTCCAAGCAGGTGCTAATGAGCTCAAATCCAGCCCCCGGGTAAGCGTGGTACCTGCGCTTCCCCGTCCAAGCAGGTGCTAATGAGCTCAAATCCAGCCCCCGGGTAAGCGTGGTACCTGCGTACGAGCCCTCCAAGTTTTTCCCGCGTAAATTCATAACTCGGGGTACTGAGATGCAGAGAGCTGGAATCTCAGGGGGGTGTTCCCTGTCTAAGTGGGTATTAACGAGTTCAAACCCTGCCCGCGGGTAAGCGTGGCACCTACGTACAGGCCCGTGAAAAGTTCCTTTCGGGTAAGTTAATTACTCGAGAACCTGGGAAGCTAGAAGACTGGAATTTTGAGGGGATTTTTACTGACATTTCTGGCGGCCATTCTGAAATTCTTTCAGCTAAAAGCATCTGCCGAAAAAACCGATGCCGGTAGCGACAAAAACCTGCGGGGAACTTTGCAAAAAACGCATCTTCACACGGGCAGCCCGTGCGTTGGCCATTTATTAAAATTTTGTTAACTCGCCATGTGTTTTGTTTTTGCATCTAAATTTCGACGCATTCCCAAATAATTTTCAATCAGAACCGTTTTTAATCAAAATATTTTATTGATTTTTGGCATTTTTAATTCAAAGCACATAGCGATAACCGCTCTGGTGTTTTTCGTCTTTTCTTCTGTT